TGGAGAGGAAATGTTTTGAGAATGATGAGGGTAATGAATGTACAAATGTGCTTTACACAATTGATGTATGTATGGATTGTGATGAGTTGTATGAGCCCTAATAAAACAATTTTTAAAAAAGGAAAAAAATTTCAGTATTACTGAATAACTGGCTTGTCTAAATGTCTCTGCAGATTATAAAATGTCTTTATAATCTAGTTTCAATGATCTATTTCTCACTTCTCTTCATTCATCCCTGTTTAAGCAGGTGGATCTCTTTAGCATCCTCTTTCAAGTGTTTTCTGAATAAACTTGGCCTATATTGATCTCTTTCATTGCTGGTTCCTATTACATTTGAAATTTATATAACATATTTAGTACATATTACATATTCAGACAGTGTCTTTATTCATAGTATATACACAATACATTTCATTGATTGGGTGGATTTATTCTTTTATAAATAGTTTTGACCAATTCTTTTCTATTTATCTCCATTGATCAAGGAAATAAAAATATATGCAGGCAGTTTCTGGGTTACAAATTTATTTCTTAAGTTTGTCTTTAAGTCAAATTTGTTTGTAAATCAGAGCAGTCAGGTACAGTTTGTGCCTGTGGAGAGTCAGATATTTGTCTTCATATGTAGCGTCTTTCTATGCATACAAAATAAACCACTCAAGAAGCACTTACAGATAGACTTAAACATCTTTTACGTAATAATGTTTTGATGCCAGTCCCAAACTAGTGCCCCTTTGTTATTACAAACCATTGAATATACTTCAGATTTGTCACATAATAGGCTTTCTAGGCTTTGTGACTGTGGGGACCACCGGTGCACACATCCTGCTTTGTGTGTGGAGATGTTTATGACTGCTGTTGGTTGTAGGTATAGCTGAAGGTAATGGAGTCAGGAGGACCTGAAGAGCCAGAGAGTCCAGGAAGATCAGCGAGTTTGTCACAGCCAGAAGAAGAAGCTGCCGAAGCACCTGCGGAAACAAGCACTGTGAATCCCCTCCTGGAGCCTGCTCTCACAGGGAATGTGGAAGGCCTGCAGAAGATATTTGAGGATCCTGCAAATCCTCATCATGAACAGGCCATGCAGCTGCTCTTGGAAGAAGACATGGTGGGGAGAAATTTGCTGTATGCAGCTTGCATGGCCGGGCAGAGTGATGTGATTAGAGCGTTGGCAAAATACGGCGTGAATCTGAACGAAAAGTCTGCCAGAGGTATTTTGTCTCTTTTCTCTCATCGTTGCTACTTAAGGAAAACAATGCCTGAGCAAAGAAATGATGCACTTACCATCTGTCAGGCTGGATAGATCTGAAGTGCCTTCTTTCTATTTGACATATATTACATATGCCTATATGTACATATATGAGAGGGACTTCAAAAAATATATGGAAAATTCCAGTATCTTTTAATTCTTTCTTTTCACAAAATTTTGAAATCCCCTGGTATGTGAACATATGTATATGTATTCCTGTATTTATATCTATGTTAATACAGTATAACACAGTAGTTATGAACATAGACTTCACCATTTAGCTGTGGAAAGTTACCTCGTCTTTCTGTGTTTCTTTTTCTTCATTGGTAAAATGCGATAGTAATTGTATGTTTCTTATAGGCTATTAGACGATTAAGTAAGATAATCCATATAAATATCCTGTCTCAATGCTGCACCCTGGTGTTGCAGTGGGGTAAGCATTGGGCTGCTAACTGCACGATTTGGGCTCAAAGCCACCAATTGCTCTTTAGGAGAAATATGAGGCTGTTTGCTCCTGTCAATATCTAGTCTCAGAAACCTAGGGAGCAGTTCTATGCAGTTCTATAAGATTGCTATGAATCGCTGTTCCATAAGGTTGCTAAGAATCAGAATTGACTCGGTGGCAGTGGGCTATCGGTGTTTAAATGGAGCAAACTTCAGTGCTTTCTAAGTGGAACGAGTGATCTGGGCTTGATGATTGACATAAATAAAGATTGGTAGTTCATACTCCCCTAGCAGTTTATCAAAAGAAATATCTAGGAATCTGGTCCTGGAAAGATTTTTGCAAGAAGACCCTACGGAGGTTTCTACTCTGTAGCACACGGGGTTCCATCTACTTGACAGCAATGGAGTTGGTGTTTTGGTAGAACTGTGCTTGGTACCACAGTGAACTGGTACATAGTAAATGCTCAATAGAACTGTTGCCTTTCTCTTAGAAGATTTATTAGTTTTTAGCAGATATTACCTAATTAACTCTTTTTAAATTAAATAACATGTTTTTTCAGATTACAGGAATTAAACAAGGTCGTTGTAGAAAATAATGATTGACAGCAAATTGAAAGTCTACATTTTCATCATGCTCATGTGGAACATTTAAAATATTGACTGTATTTTAGACTATAAAGAAAGTATCAAGAAATTCCAAAGAATCAGTATCATGTAGTCTTGGTCTCTGATCACAAAATAAGATCAGAAAATGTGTAACAAAATGGCAAGTGAACAATTCCTTATAATTTTTAGAAGCAAAATGAGGAGCTGATGACAGGGGCTTAAGTGGAGAGCAAATGTATTGAGAATGATGAGGGCAATGAATGTACAAATGTGCTTTACGAAATTGATGTATGTATGGATTGTGATAAGAGTTGTATGAGGCCCAAATAAAATGATTTAAAAAAATTTTAGAAGCAAAATACACACTGAATCATTTGTAGATCACAGAGAATGTCATGGAAATGAGGAAATATTTGAATGGCAGCAGGATCACTATCTATCCAAACCCATGAAATACAACCAAAATAAAAATTTAGTTTAATGCATATATCAGAGTAGAAGAAATGTCAAAAATCAATATGCTAAACATTCAGCAAAAAAAGTTAGGAAAAGGACAACTGTATACCAGAAAGAAAGTAGAAGAACACAGGGAATCCAGGGCGGATGATCCCTTCAGGACTGGTGGTGTGAGTGGTGATACTGGGAGGGTAGAGGGAGAGTGGGTAGGAAAGAGGGAACTGATTACAAGGAACTCTATGTGACCTCCTCCCTGGGGGATGGACAACAGAAAAGTGGGTGAAGGGAGACATCAGACAGGGCAAGATGTGACAAAATAATAATTTATAAATTATCAAGGGCTCATGAGGGAGGGGGGAGCGGGGAGGGAAGGGAAAAATGAGGACCTAATGCTGGGGGCTTAGGTGGAGAGGAAATGTTTTGACAATGATGAGGGCAAATGTACAAATGTGCTTTACACAATTGATGTATGTATGGATTGTGATAAGAGTTGTATGAGCCCCTAAAAAAATGATTAAAAAGAAAGAAGTCAAAAAAAGAAAGTAATATAGTAAATGAATGACATTCAAAATTAAATCAACGGAACCAAAAATACGTTTTAGTTAAAAAGAGTAGTGCAATAGAAAATTCTTTGATAATGTTGATTAGGGAGAGCACAATAAAGCTTTATTGAATGACATAAAACAAGATCCAAGTTATATATTTTTGCAGGCACTGAGATTTAATATATAGATGGAAAATTTCCCCAAATTCATTTATCCATCTAGTCAATAGCTTTCAGCAAGTTTGTTAAATTTTTGTTTTAAATGTCAACTGAGAAGCTGACCCTGTACTTCAGTGGGAAAGATAACAAACAATTCTTGAAAAGATTGGTTATTTCTTTGGAAGAAACATAAAATTAGATCTGTATCATGCATATAGATTAGTTATAGGTTCTTGCAAGGTATGAATGTGAAAATCAAAAATGCCAGCCTTCCTAAAAAATGAGAGGATATTTCTATATTTTTGAGATATCACAGGGCTTCTTCAAACAAGACACAGAGAACATGAACAATGAAGGGAAAATCCTGATATATTTAACTATATGAACATTTTAATATTTGCACCAAAAGATGCCACAAGGAAACGAAAAGTTGAGTGACAGATTGTGAGAAGATATTTGCAGTTATCTTTTCAAGTAGCAAAAGACAGAAATATGCCCAACTTCACTCTTATTGTTAAGTGCCATCGAGTCTGTCCCAACTCATAGCAACCTATGTACAGCCTAGTCAAACCCTGCTCAGTCCTGCACGCTCCTCACAGTCATTGGTATGTTTAAACTCATTGTTGCAGAGGGTCTTCCTTATTTTTGTTGACTCTCTTTTGCCAAGCATGATATTCTTCACAAAGAGCATGATAACATACCCGTGTCCAAAGAACGAGATAGGACAGTCTAGATATCCTTTCTTTCTTTAAAATAGTTTTATTGGCATATACTTCACATAGCATACAATTTAATCATTCAATCATACTAAGAACAGTTGTGCAATCACTATCATAATTTCTGAACCACTATGTTTTTTCTAAGGGACATTTTCACTATACTTCTAAGACAGGTTTGTTAATTCTTTGGCACTCTATGATTGATTTATTCTTTGCTAACAACATAATTTAAATATATCAGCTCTTCTTCACACATCCTTATTCACTGTCCTGTCTTCCCATGCAGATGCTATGATTGAAAAGACCATGGCTTGGGTCAGGCACATCCTAGTCTTCAAAGATTTTATATATAATTATATAAAATATATTTATATATATATATATAAAACTTTAAACAATTGTTTTGTAGGGAAATTTGTCCATCACATTATGTCCTCTGGTTTCTTGACTGCTGGTTCCATAGGCTTTGATTGTGGATCTCTGATAACTTCAGTCTTTGCTTCACTGGTTATGATGCTGCTTATTCATCAAGCTGTGAGGATTTTTATCTCCTTTATGTTCCGTCGTAGTCCTGTGTATATTCTTTTTTCCCCCAACTGTTTTATGCCCTATGATATACATATCATACAATTCAATAGTTCAATCATTCAATCATATCAAGGAGAACTGTACAATAATTACCACATCAATTTAGAGCATCCCCAAGCCTGCACACACACCGATGGTTAAATCGCCTTTAAAATGAGTTGTGCAATCACAATTAGTTCTAGGGCTCCCTCCGCACCCCCACCTTTAAATTCCCAAATCTCCTTTCCCTCCCTATCACTCACCCGACACCCCTGGATCTCCATATCTCCTTGTATCAGTTTTTATCATTATGCATCCACTCCTCCTGTGCTTCACAGCTGGGAACCCAACAGAAACAATAAAAAACAAAATTGCACTAAGGTGGTAAGGATACAATCATAATAGTATAGAGACAAAAATACAAATAATGTGTAAGAAGGAGAAGACCCCCCATCAAGGTTCAAAACGCCAGGGAAGAAATTTCTGTCATGGAACATGTAAGATGCTTGCGCTCAGAATAAAATCAGGTCATGTCTACAGGGTGGTCAACTGGCCAAGGGTTAAGTTTGATCCAGCATAATCAGGATTACAATAGTCTCTGCCTGATAGTAAGGCTGTTTGAGGCTCTTGCCCGTGGATCTGCCAGTGGCTCAGTCTGACCAGACGCTCTGCAGATAGGTTTGGGGCTCCCACTGTCCCACAGAGCCCTCCAATAATAGGGTGTTCATCATTTTTGCTCTGATGCTTTTCTCCTCACCTTATTCAAATTTTGTAATTGTTATCTTTGGATCACACAAGCTGCTGTGCTTCTTCTGTGTGGACTTAGTTGATTCCTCACTTAGATGGCTGCTTGTTTGGATACAAGCCTTTAAAACCCCAGACATTATTCTAATTGACAGCCAGGCACCATCTGTTTTCTTCACCACACTTGTCTGTAGCACCCTTTTCTTCAGTGATCATTTCAAGAAGGTGAACATCAAGCAGAGCCATGATATAGGAACTGATTGTTCTTAAGTTGGAGCTAGGATTTAGTGGGAGCCCCAAACCCATTCCTAGATCTATACTTAAAAAAAAATTTTCTGTGACTTGGGAGTTAATACATATGTCATATCATTTCATAGTCCAATCATGTCAAACATAATTGTACTATTGCTTCCATAATCAACCTCCAAACATACTTTTCCTTTTGGCTGTGTGTATTCTTTGATCTGTATCAGTAAATGATTTACGCATCCAAAGTATGTCAGCTTTGATTATTTGCTCAGCATACAGACGGAATAAGTATAGTGGAAGGATACACTCCTGATGTACGCCTTTTTTGACTTTTAAACCATGCAGCCTCCTGTGTTCTGGTGAAAGATCACCTCTTAGTCTATATACAGATTCCACATGAACACAAGTAGATGTCCTAGAATTATACATTATTTGTATTTTCATTTTCTAAGTGAACATTATATAATAATGTTA